GAATTAAGGTATGTGCGAAGTCATTCAGAAAGAAAGACGAGCACAAAATAAGCAACTCACGTTAAAAAAATAAGCCCAAAAAACCGCAACCTGCAACTCACAAAATTTACAAGCGACTTTAGAAAAAAGAAGCCGTCACTTTTAATAAGTGGACCTGCTTGTTTTTTTCTTCTTCCTTTTATTTACAACATAACTGCGCATGCCTTATCAGCCGATTGGATCATCTATCTGCGATAGCCAGTGACCATGATCTTATGATCTGAAAATAGGGACGATTTCCCATCTCTAGTCCCTGTGGAGTTGTACGTACTGTACCAACTTTTATTTTGTTAACAGACTTTTTTTCTGAACAAGTGGATCCTAATGTGCATGAAAAGGCTAAGTAAGTTTAAAATTTAGGATCTGTGTGTTAAACTCAGATACGTATAACAGATGAAATTTTTCATATTCTGTTGGGGTTGTGACATTTTGACGCTCTGAGGACATCATTGTTTGCATATTTGTTTAATGAAATGTCATGTAAATTGAAGAACTAATTAATACAAATTTGCTCATATCCTGTTTTTTTTTTATTTGGTTGGGTTAAAGTTAAGTTTTTGATAATTAAGTTCCCTGTAACCCTAACTTTGATGGTCACAATGAAAAAGGAGTGTGGTAAAAAAGCGGTCCAGTGAGACCCAACTTTTTTTCTGTTAACATGCCTTTTTTTTAAAGAGTGAACCCTAGGGTAAATACCAGAGAAGTTCAGTAGTGGGGTGTGCATGGTGACCCAACCTAACCCACAGACTAAAAAGAAAAAAAAAATTCATCTTTTGTTGGGGTTGTGACATTTTGATCCCCTGACGACATCATTGTTTGCATATTTGTTTAAACCAAAGAGCTAGTCAGTACGAATCTGCTGATACCTTGTTTGTAAATTTTGGTTGGTTTATAGCAAAGTTATTGGCATTTAAGTTTCCTGTACCCCTAATTTCGATGGTCACAACAGAAAAGAGATGTGGTCACAAAGGGGTCCCTGGGGGGCAGTGAGACCCAACTTTTTTTCTGTTAACAACCATTGTCTGAATGAGTGGACCCTAGGGTACATGAAAATACCAGATAAGTTTATTTGTGGGGGGCGGGGGGTTCACGGTGAGCCACCCTAGCCCATGGACTTTCAGACTTAGAGCTGATTTACGACGCTTGGCTTGCCACAAAGTTGATCCTGGATGACGTGTTTACAACACCCCCCCCCCGCCCCCCAGCATGGACCAATCCCTGCATCAAATTTCATGTTCATGAAAATAAATGTTCTGTTAAATAAAGGTTCATGTTCTGTGAAAATCCTAAAATAAGTTCAATCAAGACATTTGAAAGCATCATGTCATCTGCATTCACTCACCAGTTAAATATTGTCTCCAAAAACCAGTTCAGAGCAGTTCCATTCACACCCACGAACATTTCAGGTGATTAATTAGACTGTTGTCATCAATTGTATCAAATGCTGCTGAGAGGTCCAACAGAACCAAAAACTAACAACAGCCTTCATCCGAGTTTATCCTAATATCATTCACTACTCTTAGTAATTCAGTTTCAGTACTGTGGTGCCTACAGAAACCAGATTTAAACTTTTCAAAGATGGAATTTTTGTTTAAAAAAACTGAAAACTGAGTATAGATAGCTTTTTCCAAAATTTTAGCCATAAAAGGTAGTTTGGAAATTGGTCCATAGTTATTTAGATCATCCATATCAAGGTTTGATTTCTTTAATAAAAAGGTGGAGAAAAACTAGATACCGGATGGCGGTAACATAATGACCACCGCACACACAAATGCACCAGAACTCAGAAGTCTTTATGCCTAATAAATGTCATGCTACTAGGTNGATTAATATACAAATAAATCAGAATATTTAGCACTAGATAAAATAAATCATGAATTTATTTATTTTTAATTTTTTAAAGAAAGGGCTGAAAGAAGAAATCCTGTGTGGCAGCACTTCATACAGCCTGCATCAGACAAGGCTCAGTTAATAAATGTTTTTGTTTGTTTTGTTTTAGAATAAATCCTGTGTGGCAGCACTTCATACAGCCTGCATCAGACAAGGCTCAGTTAATAAATGTTTTTGTTTGTTTTGTTTTGTTTTAAATTGAGACCTGTGTAACATTTGTTATCATTCTTACTTTTATCATGTTAATGGGGGAAGAAAAGACAGTATCGGCTTCAAGAATTGGCCAAAAAAAAAATCGGCTGCAACGTATCGGCATATCAGTTAGACTGATGTCAAAAAAATCGGTATTGGCCTTCAAAAACCTGTATCGGTCGATCTCTAGTGCCAATTACATTGATACACTGATGGGACACACATCAGAAGCATTAGTATCAAGTAAAGTATCTGTGCAAGTAAAGTATCTGTGCAAGTAAAGTATCTGTGCAAGTAAAGTATCTTGCCCAAGGACACGACAACTGAGACAGCTGGATGGGGGATCGAACTGGTGACCTTCTGGTTCCAGGATGACTCCCCTCACCACTCTGCCATAGCCGCCCTAAATATGCGCTCGATGGTGTCATCAGGGGKTCAAAAGGTCACAACCTCAACAGAAGATGAAAATTTTCATCKTTTTAGTTTGTGGGCTTGGGTGGCTCACCATGCACACCCCAGTACTGAACTTCTCTGGTATTTTCACGTACTCTGGGGTTCACTCTTTTAAAAAAAAAGCAAGTTAATGTTATGATTTGTGTCTGTGTTAATGTTTTATTTTAGTTTTCTGTCTTGTCATCTGTTTTCTTCCTCCTGTCTGCCTGTGCTCCAGCCCCGCCCACTCTCACCTGATCCTCATGTTTCTCCCCCAGGTGTTTACTGTTTGTACTCATTTGTTTCTCCTTTATATTCTGTTCTCTGTCTTCAGTCTTTGTCAGATCTTTGTTCTCTGTTGTGTTGTTCCTGTTATTGTATCAAACTAAACCTTAGTATCTTGTTTGCTGCCATGCCAGCTTTTTGATTTTGTTTAATAAAGCCCTTTTGCACCTTTTTTTTTGCCTAGATCATTTCAGTTCTGCACTTGGGGTTCTAACCAACCTAGCTCAATCTTAACAGATAACAGAAAAAAAGTTGGGTCTCACTGCCCCCAGATCCCACTTTTTGACCGCACCCCTTTTTCATTTTGACCATCAAAGTTAGGTATATACAGGGAAACTAACTGCTAATAAATTTGCTATAAACCAACCAATCTTAAAGGACACATATCAAGCTAAACTAACATTTTTTGCATTTATAAACTATTTTTTGTGCAATTATAGTGTCTACGAGTGTAGAAAAGTTTAATTTATTCTGTCCAGTTACAGCAAAGATATTTTTATATTTTATGGGTCAAATTTTTCAGTTTGTTCAAAATCTGCTGTTGCGTATTTCGTCTCATTGTTTGTTTCGTCACACTTTTTCTTCAGAACTACCATTTATGTATTTCAATTGTATTTTGGGTTTTTGATTATCTCTTTGATTCAAATTACATTTCATCAACAAATATGTGCATGATGTCATCAGGGGGTCAAAAGGTCACAACCCCAACAGAAGGTGAAAATTTTCAACTTTTTAGTCTGTGGGTTGGGTCACCATGTACACCACACTACTGAACTTCTCAGGTGTTTTTGTGTATCCTAGGGTCCACTCTTTCAAAAAAGCATGTCAACAGAAAAAAGTTGGGTTTCAATGCTCCCCAGGGACTGCTTTTGACCACACCCCTTTTCCATTGTGACCATCAAAATTAGGAGTACAGGAACCTTAATTGCCAATAACTTAACAATGAAACCAAACCAATTTTTAAAAACAGGATATCAGCAGATTCGTATTAATTAGTTCTTCGATTTACATGAAATTTCATTAAACAAATATGCAAACAATGATATCAGAGGGTCAAAATGCAACAATGCAACAATTCAATTTTCCTTGCTTGTAGCCACATACCATTACTGATGCGTGTTCTGACCACCTCAGTCCATTCACTTTGTAAAATTATTCCTATTTGATAGGAACAATTTCCAATCTTTTGGTTGCTTTAAACATAAAAGCATAAAAGTCTTTCAAAACAGTGAGTGGCATTTTAGTAAGTTTTGAGACAAATGGGAAGGAGATGATTCACTCTTCAGTGAGTGATAAGTTCACTTGAGCTCTGTATAGTGTTATGTGTGTTTTGTGGGTCTCTTTTCACATACACACCTCAGCTGCAATCATACCAACCATCTGCAGGTATGATTGACCTACTTAAATGGGCGGCAGCCTTCTTCTGAGATGGACAGGGGTCTTGATTTGTCCTCTCTCTGCTGCAGGCTGCCTGAGTGCAGCTTGGCTGGTGGCCTCCTTCNCCCCTCATCAGAGCTAAACAACCAATGAAAATCTGAAGCTCCTATATTTAATAGTTTTTGAGCTCTAACCATATTTGCATGCCCAAATACCCCTTTTTCAGATAAATTGGGGGTCCGGGGGCATGAGGGCACTGATTGGTGGGCCTAATGGATAAAGCTTCATCAGTGCTAAACAACAAAACAAATCTGAAGCTCCTATGTTTAATAGTTTTTGAGCAATAACCATTTTTGTATGTCCAGATGCCATTTTTTTCAGATAAATTTGGGGTCCGGGGGGGTGGGGGCACTGAATGGTGGGCCTGATGGATAGAGCTTCATCAGAGCTAAACAACAAAAGAAATCTGAACCTCATCTGTTGAACAGTTTCTGAGTTATAAGCATTTTTGCATGTCCAGACACCCCCTCTTTGAAAGGAGCCCCCTCCTCAAATATGGGGTGTATCGTTAAACCGTTGGCTGGTGCAGTGTAGGTCGGACTCGTCTACAGACCTGACAAATTTCATGTTGATTGGTGCAGCCGTGTTTGTGCTACGGTTGACCAAAAATCACTGAAAAAAATAAACAGTAAGAAAACAATATGACTCCCGCTTACGCTTCACATGCGGGGGTCATAATAAGATGTAAACTATGACAGCCAACATGGTCAACTGATTAAACTCACCAGCAGCCTGTTTGTGAATCCAAATGAAAGGGTGATGCTGTATAGCTGCCCTTGGTCTGTGCTGATGGCCAGAGTTKCTTCTGCTGGACTGATACACATGGTGTGGATCTCCTGGCACGCTGCTGGAGTTAGACCATCGCTGCACCGATATGAAGGAATCTGAAAGAAATGGATTTATGCAAACACAAGGCTCAAAGCGCAAGGGAAGTTTTCATTTCCTGATATTTACCTGTATGCTCCTGCTCATCCTATAACTGTCCTCCTGTGTCTTTTCAAACAGGGACACTGAGCCAGGACCAGTAGAGCACATGAAGCCCTTGGAGTAGGACAAGATGGCTGTGATACAAGAAGCCAGACCTTCACTCACATCAGATTCTTTGATCCGCTTCACCTCCACCTGTCTGGTTAAGTATGGTAACAGATTTAACTGAACTCTTACATCTTCTTGTTAAAAAATACTGGAACCTTAAACAGTGAAGTACAATTTTCAAAAAGGTCAAAACAAAGCTCAAAGGAAAAAGAAAAAAGCAAAAAGAAAAAAACTCAAGTTGGCAGAGAAGCTGCGTGAAGTTAAAATTAGCTGAAAAATAAGTAAAAGTTAATTCAATTCAATTCAAAAATACTTTACTGATCCCAGAGGGAAATTAGATAAAATGAGTAATTCAGCAGCTAAATTCTACATAGCAGTTGCTATAAGCTAAAACCTAGTAAAATTGTAACCAAACACTAAAATTATTGGAACAGTAACAAAAAGGCAAAAATGTGCAAAATATTAATTAAAACTTAAACTGGCAAAACAGGAGCTGAAATCTTGATTGATTAGAACAGTCTAGAATGATAGCTAACAGCTTAAATCATCAGGATGGTAACTAAAAGTTAAAACTAGTAAAGCAACAACAACTATAAAACCTAAAAATGGGCCAGAAATGTTGAAAATTTACCATATGTTTCTTAAAGATAAGAAATGACCTCAGTGCATTTCAACAAATAAAAAAACAGAAAAATGGTATATATTGCAAAATGTATAAAAGTTAGAATAACCAAAAGCCATAGTCGTAGTGTCCTACATGAGGTGTATGTTTTATTACGTGAATGGCTAAAACATCAGTTAAAAGATAAAAAAAATACTGTATGTGAGAAACTACAGTACAAACAACAAAACAATAGAGAGAATGCRGTCACTCAGAATCCACACAGTAAAATTCTAAGAAAAAAAATTGTTCTCAACTTCCCTTCATTTTGTGCTTTGTGACGCACTRAATCAGAACATTTTACTGGTGATTTTGTTTTTTATGACTCCCACAGAGTGTGATAATATTGACTCTTATTTCACTGGCTCCAATTAAACTGACTGGGAAAAGAAAACGATTTGGTCACTAAACTAATACACTGACTTGGTACATGCTTTCTGAAATTGTAACTTTATCAGACTAGAACTGATTCCTGCAGCATTACATGCCAAATGGTCCAGAACCTGACCTGTCAGGGTGGTCCTCCACAGCTTTGGAAGTCATCCGGATCTCTTTTCTCAGGTCCCCAGACTCAGACACCAGCAGTCTACCTGTGTCTGTCCCAGCGATCACCCTGTCTTCTGATGTCCAGGCGTGACACAGGAAGTTGACAGACTCCATCTTAGCAAAGTTGGTCTGTTTCAAGACTCCCTCTGAATAACGAAACAGCTTGAACACTCCAGCTCCACTCACACAGAGCTGTGTGTTGTTGTTAGGACTGAAGCTGACCTGATGAGACATGACAGTGTGTTCAATGTGTTCAGTGTGTTCAGAGGGCAGATTATTAAAATTTGCTGAAGATGCTGAAACTTTACTAAAACAAACAAACAAAACACTAACTGGAAGCTTAAAGTAACAACAGGCTAATGTTCATTATAGCAAAAAACTTTTTTATCAAAAGGCTAGCTGTAACTCAAAAGGGATAGGTAAAATCTAAGGTCTTGGTAAAAATATAAAGAGCTATCTGAAGGTATCAAAAACTAACTTAAAGTTTTAAAAGGTTTTATAAAAGAATAAAAAAGCCAAAAGTATCAATTTGCTGACTAAAAGTATCAAAAATAATAGCTAAAAACAGTTAAAGGCTGACTTTGACCTAAAAGTTTTAAATTAGTATCATCTACAAGCTGGACTTAAAAGGTAGCAAATTGCAAACTAAAAGCAGCAAAAGGTTCATTTATAGCCAACAGAAAAGGATGGCTAAAAGTGTAACATTAGCAACTGGCTAAAAGCAGCAAACCTAAACCTAAAGGTAGTTGAAAGCTACAAAAGCTAAAAGTAGCAGGATGGTAACAAAAAGCTAAAAGTAGCACAAGAAGACAAAACTATATACCGCATAGCGGTAACATAATGACACGCACAAATGCACCAGAACTCAAAAGTCTTTATTCCTAATAAATGTCATGCTACTAGGTGCTTCCCAAAATTGTAGTGGCTTGGGTGGGGGTC